CAACGGGATATGTTGGAGAGGTGACAGGAAATACATTCTCGAAAGAGGAGATCAAATCATATCTTCGCTATAGGTTATGTCTTACGCTCATAACGAACGCTGTTTTAAGGTATTTCCTATACTTTCCAGAAAAGCAGATTCAAAATTCCAGACTGCATACTCATCACGGAGGGTCACGAAATCTAAAACTCCATGCACAATGTATATTTGTTGTTCTGTTTACTCGTGAGACATTTAAAACAAATAACGAACTAGCCTACACTCTTTGATATATTATGCAATTTCTCTGTTCAATGCTTGAAATGCTTCCTTTGTCATAATGCATAACGAAATATTGCAATTTCTAAAAACTCTTCTGAACGTTGTTCATTACGACCGTATAAAGGCGTTAGTCACGTGATCAATAGAGTTTAAGGGTATCTCCTTACGCCTGGCGCTAAAACTCCCTCATAACCAAAGGAGGAGCGTTAGAAGAGCGGGGCGATGGTGCGCAGGCTGCTGCTGCTGCGCTACCCGTTCAAGGCGCTGCCCGAGGCCGCCAAGCTGCCGCCGCGCACGGTGGCGGCGGCGCTGCTAGGCGTGCGCGACCCGCGCTCGCGCCGCGTGCTGCGCCGCCTGCTGGAGGCGCAGCGCGTGCTGCTGGTGGAGCCCGAGGCGGCCGTCGCCGACTGCGTGGAGCGCTTCCAGCAGGTGCGCGCGTCGCTCCGCCGGCGCGAGGCAGACTTCCAGTGCAAGCCCTGAATTATAAACTGAGGGGAAACGGAAACATTGAAAGGCCAGAATGAGATGGAAAGAGGCTGGAACAGGCAATATGTCTAATCTGTAAAGGAATATAATGATGATGTTGATGATGATGGTTATAAATCGTAGCATATAGTAGTCGTGGCCTTCTAGGGAAGTTAGGGGAAAAGTTTCATCAATTTTGGTTCAGTATATTAAGAGATTATCGCGCTGTAACTCAAAGATCCTTGTGTCTTTAGATTGTAGTGTAGATTAGTATAGATATGGATAAAGTTATAGATATATAGGTAGAAATTACATAAAATTAACATTTAGGTTTATGAAAGATTTAACTATAACTCATTGTTTCTGAGCATCTGGTATAATTTTGTTTACCCAAATGTGAGGACGGTGCAACGTGCGTTGCCAGGAGAACGTGCCCGAGGACACCGAGGACGAAATCACGGAAGCGCCGGCCAAGTCCATCGAGGAGGAGAAGGAGCCCACCCCGCCGAAGCCGGACCGCTCCAGCAAGAAGCCCAGCAAGAAATGCGAGTAGTCAAAAGACATTTTCCTTATGTATTCGTAGTAATGATGGTAATATTGGGTATTGTGGTGAGGTATCGTTGGCATTTACAATGAAATAATTATATGAGTTGTCATTGCCAACAGTATTACTGTTGGCAATGTCGACTCATATAATTATTTCAATGCTGGAAATGTCAAGTTTTATACCAGATAGCTGCTCTACGATGGAAGGGAGTCATAATGGGGAAGGAAGCATCACGTGCGCGCCGTGGGCATTCGAAAAATCGCTCTCCTTTTAAGATATTGACACTCTCCCTTGAGTTGATGTGGGTGGTGTCATTTTGACATGTAGTTAGTGCAAAATGCGATCGCACAGTTACGATGCTTGAAACGGAATGTCTGATAGTAGAAAACACGGGATATAATGAATGTGTTAAGAGTAAAATAAAATTTCATAATAAATTTCATATATAGTATATGGAAGAAAAACTCCAAAAACAAAATGTAATATATAAAAATGAAACAATATTCAGCAGATGGTGTCAGTCCAGGCACAGATTGATATCGTACCACGTAATTAAGCAAAATTAAGTAGCTAGCGAAGCATTGATGCAGTGATAGGGGCACAGCATGGTCAATCCTGAGATAAACATTGCCTGCATGTTGTGGGGCACCAACCACTGAGAAACTAGTCACACTTACAGAAAAGGCAATAAAAATTACATTTTGAGTGGTCTCCCTCATCATCTATATACTATTTCAAACACCTCTATTAAATGTATTTGGTCAAAAACCCTAGGGTTAAATACATTTAATATATGTGATTGTGATATGTGAATATCTTGTACTATTCCCTGATCGAATTTGAGCCTAAAAGGACCAAAGAAGTATCGGTTCATGATACATTATTGCAAAACCGATATTAATGATTCAGCTTATCTTTAAATATAAAATAAGGGAAAAATAATTAATTATTTTTGTTCTAATTCTCCTCACTAGAAAGCAAAATCTCCACATGATGAAGAATGTTCGACACTAGCTAGGTCCAATTCAGCCGCTGTCTGGTGGAGAAATCTATCGGCCGGCTCTGATCGGTAGTTTTCTCCCATCAACACCAGGCGAACAAACGGGCCACGGGCCGCACGCGATCTTTCCTTCCTCTTCCTTGTCCTATCCTCTCCTCTTACGTACGCCCACTTACATGCAATACACTCCCACACATTTCGGAAGACCGATGGGGAGCTTAGAGATTGTCCTGTCTGGAGTGGTTGCGGATGGGGAAGGTGACGTGTAGGTCGGCAACTGATCTCACCATCCAGGGAGAGCGAACGCCGCCACCCTTCAGGATAAAAAGCACTGCACTTACGGGAATAAGACTTAGAGTTCTACATTCGGGAGGAAACAGCCGTTCGAGTCTCGCAAGGATTGGCGTCGACGCTCAGCGGTAAAGGGGGCAACCTTTCTCAGCCGCTTTTCGGTTCTCGGTTATCTGCAGACCAGTAGATGATCGCCGAGCGCTCGACAGGCGCACTTACACACATTCACATGCACTACACTACCACTACCCTGGGAGACTGTCGGGAGCTTAGACCATGTCCCGGTGGGTAGGTTCCCCGCTGGTGGGAGATACCTGGTTGAGGAAAATGCCCGCAAGCCGACGAAGGTCGGCGACTAGATCTCGCCATGCAGCGGGGAAGATTACCGCTACCTCTCGCGATAAAAAATATGCACCACACTCACGGAACTATTGAATTACTAGTCGGTAACGAGCCCGGAATTGGTCCATCGGAGTCAAAAAGACCGAAAAGGTGAAAGGGCGATAAAAAACACTTACCATACGGGACTACTGAGCTCATTCGTTAACGCGCCCGGAATTGGTCCTTCGGAGTCAAAGAGGCCGAAAAAAGCTGTGAAAAAGGCGATAAAACATGCACCACACTTACGGGACTACCGAGCGTTTTCGTTAACGCGCCCGGAATTGGACCATTGAAGTCAAAAATCAAGTCTGACGTAGTAAGCGGGAGGCGCCGTGCGGCGTGCGCAGCGTCGAAGCCGCTGGCCGCGCAGTCGCAGCGCCAGAGCGTGATGCTGGAGAAGGAGGTGCAGGTGCCGCCGCTGCCGGAGGAGGAGGGCGCGGGGGCGGGGGCGGCGGCCGAGCGCGTGCTGGCGGCGTCGCCCTCGGCGCGCGGCCGCCTGGGGCGCGTGCTGGTGGAGCAGCTGGCCGCCGGCCGCCACCTCACGCCCGAGATGCTCGTGCAGGCAAGGCTGCCCTTTCGATTTGGTGTGCCCTGGTAGTGAAGATAAAATTTTATTGCGGTCGGGAGAGATGCTTCTCCCCGCTGGATGGTGAGAGCCGACGTTGCCGCCCCTCGGAGCGGGGAACCGCCCCAGTCGGGGCGAACTTTGAGCTCCTGACATGTGTGGTAAAGCATGTAAGTGTGTGTGTGTGAGAGAGAGAGAGAGAAAGAGAGAGAGAAAGAGAGAGAGAAAGAGAGAGAGAAAGAGAGAGAGAGAAAGAGAGAGAGAGAAAGAGAGAGAGAGAAAGAGAGAGAGAGACAGAGAGAGAGAGAGAGTAGAGAAGATCGGCAGAGTGAGACGAAGAAAAGACGGTTCCATGGTCCGTTTGTTAAGGTATTGCTCCGGTGTTGGCCAGGTGTTGATTGGAGAAACCACGGTAAATTACCGATCAGAGCATTCAGCCGCTAGAATTATCCTTTATAAAGCGGGTGAATCAGAACTAGCTAAACCCGAAAATTAGCCACAGTCGAGACTCGCACCCTAGGACATCCCGATCAAATTTCTGTACAGACAGCGGCAATGCTGGTCCTGAGCTTATCTCACCGGTTGTGTTATAAGCTTTGTGCAACGAAGAGTAAAACTAATGCGATACCAATTGGATATTCGATACCAATAGTGCCGTAAATGAGATCGATGTAGTACATCTAAAGCCATTTGGCGCCGAATGGATTGTGCATGTTTTATCATTCTGAAGTTTGATTGGTATTAATATTTAGAAGATAGCAAAGTTTATTAAATGTATTTACTAATCGTAAAGGATCGTATTTTACGAAAAGTATATGCAATTTAAACAAGAAAATTACTTGTACTGAATTATTGTTTGTATTATTTTGTTTTCTATTTTATTTACATACTAAATGGAAAATTATTGTAATTGTAATAATAAAGAAATTACTTGAAAAATCACCTTACGTCTATTACCATTTTACTAAGCCAAAAACCTCCCATCCTCTGTCTATTGTCTATCCATTATTTTTAACAATTATCTGGAATTGTAGGAAGATTTTGGAGGGGATATTCGTAATTGCAAGACGTAAGGTGTACACTGTACATCTACACAGGAAAGTAGTACTAATGTTCATGAAATTAATTTCTATTAAATGTTGGTTGAGCAAGTAAGCCAAGGTCAGATAATGAATAATGAAACGGTGTATTTAAAAAACTGAATCTCAAGAGTGAATTACATAACTATATAAAAATTATATTTTACTACTAAAATTGCTACTATTTACTCTAATACACATTGTATATAATTAATTTTATTATTATTATTATTATTATTTTATGTTTATTTACAAACATTCATACTTCGGCCGTTACAATAAAATGGACTAATTTTGATTAACCATCTGTCATATTTTGTGGCCATTTTATTTATGTCCATGTTTTTGAAAAACTACTGCCCAAAATCTATGTAGAACCACAGAGAAACAATATCAAATAACGCAACATTTACGGCTCACCAGGCGAACACAGTACACCGCTTCTGTGACTACTCCTGCCGGCGCGGCGCCTTCACGAGAAGGCGCTGTCGCTGCCTCTTCTTTTCCCCTCTTGCCCCCTCCGGGCCCCCCACCATCACGTTTGCCAGAGCACTCCCTCCAACGACGCAGTTGGGTCAGACCTTGTCTATACTCGGATTAAAACCAAATATTCCCCACCTTTAATACCGAAAATTCACGAAAGTGGAAACGATCGGGGTGCCAGCGCGTTCCCCTTTTGACCCCGCTCGTGACCTTGAAGGGGCTTGCCGGCAGGCGATCGTGCGGCACCTGGAGGCGCGGCTGGACGGCAAGTGGCGCGGCTGGGTGCTGCTGGACATGCCGCGCACGCACGCGCAGGCTCTGCACCTGGAGCAGCACCTGACGGGGCAGCCCGTGCCGCCGGCGCCCGACGAGGAGTGGGCGCGCCACCCGCTGCGCACGCTCACGCCCTTCGTCTTCGAGGTGCCGCTGCCCCTCGCGCTCTCCCGCAGCCTTTTGAACATCCCTCCTTCGGTTCAGCCACAGAATGGCACAGACCTTCCCGTATTTCTTTTCAATTTCCTTTGGTCTCGGCTCGCTATTCGGATTTGCGACAAACTCTTGCCAACTACCACCTATCACCGTCCATTTTTTGCCACATTCGTAATTGTTTGGTTTACTAATAGTAGAACGTAAATATTATAATAATATTAAAGATCAGTAAAACCTCGTCCTAAATGGCAATTTTCTTTGAAAAATTTGTAGCTGTTTTTGAGAAAATGGCGGTTAAGGGATACAGTAAATTGGAATTTTGAAGCACTTTTTCACAGACATTTTTTGAATTTTCGAAAAACTTAATTGGGAGTTATCTGAAGAACTTCAATTCACAAATACAATAGTATTTACAAATTGATGGAAATGTGCATACTACCGGTATAGGAGATCTTTAAAAAAATTACATTTTCGTAGTTTTTTAAAAGAACATTTGTGTAATTACATTATTTACATTACATTTCTGTAATTTTTGAAAAAATCAAAATTAACTTTTCCTCATATATTAAAGAGTGCAATTAGCACTATCCTTGCGAAAAGTTTGAAGAAAACATTTGGAGCCGTTATTGACAAAATGGCGATTGAGCGTTTCTGAAATTGCGAAATTTTCAGCTAGAACAGACTGACGGTCGTTTTGCCGTCAATGGGTTTTTAGGTATCAAGGACCCGCAAAACATGGATTCTGGCTACGCCACGTGTTAGAGGATATTTTTCTTAA